TTCCATAGTATTAATTGCAAATTATTTTCCAATTTATCATTCCAGAATCATGTGCAATTTTATTTAAAAATTCACAATTTATTTTACATCGCTCATCATACACCACTCGTCAAATACGACTCATCATACATCATTCCCTCTCCACCTCCATATATGTCTACAAATCCATATGGCACCTACACATCACACTATCTCTCTTGTATATTCACCTTTCTTTATCTCTTTCTACAGATCTTTTCGACTTTAGTACGCAGAGCAATTTGTAAGCTGGAAGCTGAGAACTGGCGTTTTTCAGTACAACTCTAGTACGCGGAGCAATCTGTAGAGCTGGAAGCTGAGAACTGGCGTCTTTGTAGCACAACTTTAGTACGCAGAGTATCTGGCGAGCTGGACGATGAGAACTGGCGTCTTTGTAGTACAACTAAAAAATCGCGGAGATATCTGTAGAGCTGGACGCTAGGAACTGGCGACTTTCCAGCATCTTTGGTACTCAGAGCAATCTGTAGAGCTGGAAACTGAGAACTGGTGACTTTCTAGTACAACATGCTGATGTATCCCCTGAGAGGCGACCTTTCATACATATAATTTCATACGCACTTTGTAATATTCAAACATATACTCTTAAAATGTTCAAAAAGATTCGTAGGAAAACTAGAGGACGAATGGCCTTAAATTTTCATGACGTGAGAAGTATGAGTGTGAATTATTTAAAACAGCAGTTGAATGTCCTTTCCTACAAAACTGCCAGTATGACTCAGCAGCGAAAGAACTGAACGTGCACGCACAGAGATGACCCAGCAGCGACAGATGACTTAGTCGCAAAGATGACTCAGTCGCGAGAGATGACTCAGCCGCGAGAGATGGCTATAGCCAGAGCTGACTCAGCCCCAGATGAATGAGCAGCGAGAGATGACTCCTCCACGTACTGCACTGTTCGCCAGTACAACTTTTGTTGTTCTACGAAGTTGCCAGTGCTCAGCATCTGGCTGCATAGATTGCTTTGCGTGCTGAAGTTGCACCACCAAGACGCCAGTTCTCATCCTCCTACTTGCCAGAGACTCCCCGTGCCAAAGTTGCACTACAAAGTTGCCAGTTCTGAGCTTCCAGCTCCACAGATTTGCTCCGCCCACTAAAGTTGTAGAAGTCGCCAGTTCTCACCATCCAGCTCCACAGAAACCCCGGGTACTAAAGCTGCACTACAAAGTCGCCAGTTTTCACCATCCATCTCCACAGACAATCCGCATTGTAAAGTTGCACTACAAAGTTACCAGTTCTGCTCGTCCAGCGCAGATGATCCTCTCTTTCCAGCTGCACAGATTGCTCCGCGTACTGCAGTTGTATTACAAACAAAGTCGCCAATTCTCTTCGTCCAGCTTGCCAGATAATCCGCGTACTAGAGTTGTACTGCAGTGTCGCGCCTGTTCTCAGCTCCCAGCTGTACAGATTGCTCCGCGCCACGTGGGTGTATGCTCAGCTCCTGTCCTCAGTGCACAAGATCCTTCCGGAGTTTTGCGCCTTGTCGCCCAGGATCGTTCTCGATCAGTACTCCCCGTACCAAAATTTTTTCTACAAAGTGGCCACTTCTCAGCTTCCAGCTTGCCACACACTCCGCGTGCTAAAGTTGCACTACAAAGAAGCCAGTTCTCAGCCTCAAACTCCCCAGACTCTGTGCCTGCCACGAAATCTGCACATGGAGGTTCACAAAGTGCTCTGCCTCCGAAGAAATCCACACATGGAGATGCACAAAGTGCTGTTCCTGCCACGAAGTGCTGCACCTGCCACGAACGACATCTGCACATGGAGCTTCACAAAATTGCTGCACCTACGACGACGTCTGCACATGGAGGTTCACAAAGAGTGCTGCACCTGCCACGAAATCTGCACGTGGAGGTTCACAAAGTGCTGCACCTGCCACGACATCTGCACAAAGAGGTTTACAAAGTGATGCACCTGCAACGACATCTGCGCATGGAGGTTCACAAAGCACTGCACCTGCCACGAAATCTGCACGTGGGGGTTCACAAAGTGCTGCACCTGCCACGAAATCTGAACCTGGAGCTGGAGTTTCCTGGAGCGTGAGCTGTTGAAACCAGAGCTGGTGTATGAGCGGTGTATCATGAGTGGTGTGTGATCAGCCGTGTATGTCTGATGAGTAGTGTATGATGAGTGGTGTATAATGTGTGGTGTGTGATGAGTGGTGTGTGATGAGTCGTGTATGACTAGTGGTGTATGATGAGTGGTGTATGATGAGTGGTTCATTATGAGTGGTGTATGATAAGTGGTGTATGATGAGTTGTTTTTGATGAGTGGTGTCTGATGAGTGGTGTATGATGAGTGTTGTGTGATGAGTGGTGCATAGTGAGTGGTGTATGATGAGTGGTGTATGATGAGTGGTGTATGATGAGTGGTGTTTGATAAGTGGTGTATGATGAGTAATGTATTATGAGTACTGTATGATGGGTGGTGCATAATGATGATAAGTGGTGTGTGATGAGTGGTGGTTGAACAGCTGTTGAATGTCCGTAACACGGAAGTTTTGCACACCAAACTTCCTTTGATAAGTCCCTGTCTGTGTGTGTCCATGTCTGCTGCTGGTGAAGGTCTTCATTGTAGATATAAGGAACGAACAATATTTTTGGGAAGCTTATGGGTTGGGTTGAAAATTCTTCCAAAACATTCTCCATTGCTGTTGATTTGCTTTATGTTCCTGGCTACGATCTGGTGCTAGCTGGCCCAAGATCTATGGAGATTTGTGCAATCTCACTTTGAGTACCAAAATGCACAAATGCATGGCAGCCACATCGCTCTCCAGGTAACATTTTCTTCACTTGAGATTAAGTTCACCAATCATTACACTGGTCATTTTCTCATCGACTGTGCCAAAAAAGCAAAAACGTGCCCAAGTAGATTCAGGTGACACGCAGCAGCCATTGCCTAAATCTTCGCGTGCTCTCTCTGCTCGCGACTAGCCTATGTATACGGAAAAGATTCCCCGAAAATATATCCAGCAAAGTCCCAAGGGCAATTGCCCTGGATTTGGCCAATGGGTTTCCACCGCATTCCAATGCATAAGATTGAGTTTTTACAGATCAACGTTTCTGCCAAATTCAAAGATGGATCCTGTCTTGAGGAGCGCGAATTCTGTGCTGAAACTCACGTGGGCAGATCGCAACGACCCCTCTTTTGGACTCTTGACCACGCACGATCTCCGCAGAGGGTTGCGCGTGGACAGGACAGATCGCATTCTCGCCTGCACGTCGCGCACTCGACACGCACGATCGGCAGAGGGTTACATTTTTAGTTGACGCTATTCGTCCCACCCTCCGCCGAATTTACCAAATGGGGAAATATTTTCATTAGGACATCTCCCGTGCAAATTATCATTAGGACATCTACCGTGCATGTTTTCCATACTCACATTTGCATACTCATTAGGACATCTCCCGTGCAAGTTTTACTTTTACACTTGGATTCTTTTGCACTTGGATACTTGCCGTTGGATGCTTTCACTCTTCCACTTACACTGGGGTACGTATAGAAGTGTCAGTGTTCAAGTGTAAGTGTGAAAGCGTAAGTGTCCAATTGTACGTGTAGAAATGTCAGTGTTCAAGTGCAAGTGTGGAAGTGTCAGTGTGTAAGTGTAAGTGTAGAAGTGTCAGTGTTCAAGAAATTTTCCGGAAGAACCCTTCGCAATGCTTTCGGGAACAATCTTACCCCATGGTTCAGATCATTGGTAACCATTAAATCAGAGCATCATAGGATTTAAATTATCCTAAACCATAAGAAGCTCACGAAGACGTTTGCTGAGGAGAGAATTGATGTGCTTCACAAAACAAATGCTAGGTATATATTCCCTCGGGAAACAGCTTTCGTAATTAAAATTTCATATGCACTCTTTCTAAGTGTTCAAGAGGGTTTCAATTATTCTAAAATCATGAGAGGCTCACGAAGACAAGGGGGGGGGAAGTCTGTGTTGAAAAAAAAAAAAAAAAAATAAATTCAACGAAGCGGGGGGGGGGTAGGTCTGTATTGAAAATCAATTCGAAGGGGGGTTCTAAATTAAGCGATCAATTATTCGATCCGGACGTACCAACACTTGATTCGCAAAACAAACTCAAGATATCCCCTAAAGGGCAGAAGAAAAAGAAGAAAAACGGAAAAACGAAAGAGAAGAAAAAGAGAAAAAGAAAAAAAAAGAAATAAAAGGGAGATAAAAAAAAAATAAAAAAAAAG